TGGATGGTCATGGAATGAAAATATGGCCACTGCACTGAAAACTTCATCATGCCTTCTCATATACTGACTTCTTTACTTTGTTCAATATCTCAAATTATGAAGAATGGTTTAACTAGAGCAGCTAATTGGTACTTTGTTCATTCAATTTGCTCTATCAACTACGGTTTAAGAAAAATAAATACCACTAATATCGAAAAGAAAATGTTTTAGCTAGTTGTTTCTGTCTTCGTATACACACCTCATTTATGACAAACCGAATAATCATTGCATTCCAAGTTCCAACTATATATTGTACTCCCATTTTTGTACGGAAACAGCTTTCTAAAGACTAAAATCACCACCAAATATTCATTCTCGTATTTAATCAAGCTTCACTCTTCACACAAAGTTAGTATTTACTAAACCACTAGCTAGAAGGTGAAGTTGCTTTCAACATAACATGCTTGGAATGCTAATTTGCCTATTTCAAAGAAATTTCTTGAGTATAAACCCCACAATATCAAACGCATTACATAGTGAGATATCATTGGCTACTCATAAAGCTAACTGATGCAAACTCACTAAAAATGTGTGAAATGGTTTAACAGTAGAACACCCTTAAACAAACAGAGAGAGGATGACATATTGAGTAAGAAGGTGCACAGAACTCGACTCTTTTTTCCCCCCCTCTCTGCTTCAAAAGCACGTAAATGATTTCTTACCCTAAGAATCTATGCTCTCACTTGAAATACCCATTTCTTCTTCACTACTTACAACTTGCTAATAATGTGGAGAGCAAAGCAGCCTAGATCGGGTACCAGCAGAGCAGGAGGACCCTCTTCCAAGATGGCCTGCTGCTGATATCATCCCACCACGCACTCACATGCTTCCTGTCTGTTGTCATGTACCCTTTCTTCATCCGGTTCATCAAACAATGCCCAAAAGGAAGGTGGCTAAGATCAGCAAGGCTGAAGAAATCCCCGGCCAAGTACTTGCTCTTTGACAGCCTCTCCTCATAAATGTCCAGAACCTTCCCAAGCTTCTCTTTCACTCTCCTGGATCACTTTTGGTTCAGAGGGGGTTCCCAATATCGGGGCAAACAGAATATGATGTACCAAGTTTTACACTGGCGGATGGAAGTTATGGGCTTCCACAGCATTGCTCCACAAGGCCTCTATCTTCTATTGTCTTTCCCAACAAGTCAGTTCCTTGGGATTTGTACTTTTCAGCATAGTACCTGATTATTGCTCGAGATTCTGCATGATCGAGTTCAGAACAATATATATCAGCTTGGAGTCAGATTATGAAGTAGCACAAAAAATCATATGGTTTTATGAAGTGAAGTAAGTTTCTGGACCTTTGCGACTATACATGATTAATAGGGTAAAGACAATTGCAGTAACAAACTCCGACTAGGAATAGCAACAGAGCAGGGCAAGAATGAACCTGCATTTAACATTGTAAAGGGGGGAAAGCACTGTTTTCTTCCCTTGTGTCTGGGATGAGATCAATTTGGTCACTTCATTAGCTCTTGTTTACATTCCATCCTTGAAGTTAACAAGAAATTCCTAATCGATCAGCATATTATGCGTTTGTTCCTCTAGAAATTCTATATGGAGTGACCAATTTAATTTCAAAATTCATGTAAGAGTAAATCAATTCAAGGAAGAAAACCCTTAAAACACGCACACAAGTAGAGAGACGAAAATTGGGGGTTTCTCTGACATTTTGATCGAAGTTTGAGAAATCCCAGTTCAGAGGGGATTAGGCAAGGTGATGCAGGTTGAAGAGAAAGATTAATGGAAATCAAATCGAAAGATCGAAATTAAAATTCCACAGTAACTAAATGGCACAGCTGTTTTGGCCAAAAAATAAATAAATAAATAAATAAATGGCACAGCTGGCATTAAAAAACACACACACACAAAATAAAGTTTAGGGCTCACCATAGAGTATTATCCCCGTCTTAAATTAAAGGAAACTGACACAAGTCTAACGGGCCAATGGAAAACTTTACATAACCCAATTAAGGTGGGGAAGTTAGGCCACATGGAGCACAACCCATGGAGTGAAAGCAAGATGCTTGGAGGAGTCGATACAAGCCTGTGTCTACGGATCTATATCAAGCTATGGATGCCCAATGATGATTGAACAATTCATCATAGATGCATCCAAAGAAGATTCTCTGATGATAATACATTTGTTGCTAGCCCAACCTAATGAAGAGTCTATATTTTTTGAAGAGAAGTTCAAAGAGTAATCAAATAAAAGTCTAACTATAGAGTATAAGTTGATTTGAGTCCAAGCAATGTTGAATTGCGAAATCAAGTCCATCTTGAGTCCATTAATGATACAAAACATGTTACAAGAAGCTCAATCTAGCAAGGACTCAAGCCCATGCGTCCAACCCATCAAAACAAAGAAGATTTATAAAATATTTGAAGCATTAATTGCATGATCCCTTGTAGAAATTGAAGATCTACTTGATTGATTAAGATTTGACTTTTCATGTGATCTCACAATTGATTCAAGATTTGATTTATTTCTTTTATTATTGAATCAAAATCATCTAGTTTTCAATTTCTTGTTTTCATTAATTAGAAAGATTGAGTCTTACATTTAATTTTCTATTTCATTCTTGTCAAGATTGCTTTTAATATTTTAGAAAATTTTAGTTATTGTAATCTCATAATTTTTTAAAAAATACAATTCAAAATTATGTAACTAAATAAGTTATCAATATTTTTAAATTTAGGATTTTAAATCTTGTCTTTGTCTATAAATAGGCATACATTTGTCTCTTATAACTTGAGACACATTGAATAATTTTTATTGTTAAAATTTGAAACTCTTGTGAGTATTAGTATTTATGTTGATATCTGATAGTGAATGTAAACATGATCAAGAGCTTGATGTAGGTGATTTGGAATATCTTTTCCTAATCTTTATCTTTTCTCTTCTTTAATCTCATGATCTTCTTTTTGGCCTTCCGATTGTTTCCCTTGTGATTCTTTTATTTGTTTTTTGTTTTAGAATTTTATTTTTAACTGGCATGATTCCGCTTTTGTACCTTCTATTGAAAGGCGTCCAAATGGCTATAGAAAATGTGAGAAACAAGAAATGCATTGGAAAAGAAAACACCATTGAAAACCAAAAACAAAGAAAAGGCAGAATGAAAAGAAAAAAAAGAAGCAGAGAGATTACAAGAACCTGCAATGTGAGGAAATGAGGATGCTTGTGCCTTTGAAGAAATGAAGAAGCACCACTCCAAAATGGATCTCCTTCTCGATCAGACACAGAATCACGCGTTTCGAGGAAGCGTAGCTTGGGCCCCACACGTCAACTACCGCGTTCTTCTGTCGGAGGTTTCCAATTAGCGGGCGAGTTTTTGATCACTGTACACATCTCCTTCAGTCATTCTTCACGTGTCCAAAGCCGACTAGCTAAAATAGATTTATTAATCCATAAAGTTTTATAACTGAAAAAATTAAGGAACAATTACAGTTAGGTCCACGGGAAATTTGTGGAACTTCAATATAAATATTTCAAAAATTAATCATTTAATTCTTATAATTTTAATTAAATTATAACTTTAATTTTAAATCTCACAATTCAGTTTTTATAATTTTAATCACTTAAATATTAATTTTTATTTTAAAAATAAAATTATAAATATTATAATTATGTTAAAATTTATTATTAATATTTTATATTGCTAAACCCTTTTAATCCTTATAAATATTAAAATTTTAAAATATTTTTAATTTTTATAATTTTATTTTTTAAAATATAAGGATTAATATTTAAGAAGTTATAATTAGAGGGACCAAATTATAAGAGGAGAAATTCAGAGAATGAGTTACAATTAAATTAAAATTATAAAAATTGAATTATAATAAGTTAAAGTTCAGATACTAAGTTATAACTGGGTGAAAAGTGTAGGAATCAAATAATTAATTTTTTTCTTTATAATTTTTATTTTAAAAAACGTATTCAAATATTTCTTGAAATAATGCAAATTATAATTCTTTTCAGTTCGTATATTTCTCTTAAATTATTTGTAATTATTTTTAAGAAGAATTAAGTATTAAGTAATTAAATAATAAATGTGATTAGATAATATAATTTAAATAAGTAAAGATGAAAACCTAAAATTAATTAAATTATAATTAAATTTCAATAAATATTCGTATATAAAAATAAAATAAATATGAATGGGAAACTAACAAATAAATCCCATCAAAATAGCCAAATGATAAAATAGTACCATAAAATTAGATAATTAATCTGAAGTTCCTTGAGTCTTGTCTTTTATTTGCAAAATTACGTTTCCGAACTTCTACGAAATAATAAAACTGTTGTTAATAATAAAGGTAAAGTTGTTAGTATAAAAATTATAGTTGTTATTGCATAACTAAATTGAAGTTTAACTATGTTTTTAATGTTTAAACTGAAATTGTTAATATAAAAAATATATTTGTTATTACGTAACTAATTTAACAACTACACTTTCTATATTAACAATTTATTAATAACTTTAGTTTAAATATTAAAAATTATGCTTTTTTATTATTTTGCTTAGCATCAAAAATATAATTTTGAAAAAAAATTATGTCAAATAAGTCTCTAGAGACTTAAAAGTTCTTATTACATTTTGTGGTACTTATTTATCATTTATTTATTTTGATGGGATCTATTTGTCATTCTCTCATAAAATTATTATTTTTAATATTTTATAAGTTCATAGGCTGTATATGATATTAGAAAATCAATCATAATTCTCATTTCCCTCTTCTATTTTTCCTGTGATTTACTGTTATTTTTTGTAATTAAAATGTATCTCTAATTAGATGAAAAATCAATCATGATTCTCATTTCTGTTACTCTCCAGCAGTCGCTGAGAGCATTTTTTCCCAGGAACTCATTAAAATCTCCCTTCCCTTCCATTTCCCTTTAACAAAACAAACCATGAAAGATCAATGCTGACACTTAAAATAAAAATTTCTCAATGGCTTCTGATATGAACAACTGGAACATTATTATATGGATTAAGAATTTCTCATTCTCAATAAGTAGCTACATATATTTATACTCTTTACTACTTGGAAAAGTTAGGGTAAGGGTAGAGTTCAAGGACCTTCTTCCAAGATGGCCTGCTGCTAATATCATCCCACCAAGCACTCACATGCTTCCTGTCTCTTATCAAATACTCTTTCCCCATCTGGTTAGCCACAAAATGGGCATAAGGAAGGTGGCTAAGATCAGCAAGGCTGAAGAAATCCCCAGCCAAGTACTTGCTCTTTGACAGCCTCTCCTCATAAATGTCCAGAACCTTCCCAAGCTTCTCTTCACTCTCTTCAATCACTTTTGGGTCTGAATTGATTCCCAATAGTGGGGCAAACAGAACATGAAGGATCATGTTGTAGGCTGGTGGATTGAAGTTCTGGGATTCCACTTCCAACCATTGTTCCACAAGTCCCCTTTCTTCTATTGTCTTCCCCAGCAAGTCAGTCCCCTGGGATTTGTACTTCTCTGCATAGTACCTGATTATGGCTCTGGATTCTGCAGAATTGAGTTCAGAACAATGTAGCAGTATGGGTACAGTCAGATTATCAAGTAGCACAAGAAGTCACATGGCTATATATAATAACAACAAGCCTTATCCTACCAAATGGGGTAAATCATATTTTATCCTGCTAAGTGGCACAAGAAAATGACTTATGTTGTGGTTCAGAGGCAGTAACACTCTTAGAGCCTTCATATAAGCTCATGGTATAATTAACTTCGTGATTAATAACAAACTTTTTTATCAACAAACACGCCAGTCTAATATTTCAACACCTTGTGTCTGGGATAAGATCAAGCTGGTCACTTCATTAATGAGTTTTTATCAATATTCCATCCTTGAACTTGACAAACAAGAGATTCCTGAATTGATCAGCGTGTTTTGTTCCACTGGAAATAGAAATTACATATGGAGTGACCATTTCAATTCAAAATTTACTTGCAATTCCGAAGTAATTAAACGGCATAATAGTAGGGTAAAAGAAAAAGAAAGTTTAAGACTAACCGTAAAGAGTATAATCTCCATCTTGAACAGCAGGAAGCAGTCCAAATGGCTGCAAATTTATGAGAAACAAACTAAGAACAATCACAAAGGGGAAACAAGAACACTATTGAATAATAGAGACAGCAAGGGGCAAATTGAAAGAAAGAAGGAAGAGAATATTAGGACCTGCAATTTGAGGAAATCAGGATCCTTGTGCTCTCCTTCGAAGATGTCGAGAAGCACAGCTTCAAAATCAATCTGCTTCTCCATCAGACACATAACCACCCTTTTTGGGGAAGCGTAGTTTGGGCCGTACACCTTCACTACCATCTTCTTCTTCTTCTATCGGCGACTTCCGATCAGCAAGCGAGACTAGTAGATTTGATTATTAATCTCAATGTTTGGTCTTCATTCGGCCTCTCTGCACTTAGGTGCTCTTATGTAGTGTTGTGGTAGTACAGGCACGTAACCAGAACCGTTTTATTCTTCTTGGTTTTCCCCTTTCTTACTTTATAAAAAAAAAAAAAAAAATCTTTTGGGACCACCCAAACCGGCTTTTTGTTTTTGTTGCTTCTTTATTTGGGGCATCCTGCGCCGGCTGGTTGAGATAGAATTTTTTGTAAGTGAACTTCATTAAAATTTCACACAAAAAATTAATTATTATAAAATTTATTAATAATTAAATTAAATTATATTAACTATACAATCAATTGTTAATGTAATTTAATTTAATTATTAATATATTTTACAATAATTTTTTTTATATTGGACCTGATTGTAATTCTTTTATTTTTTTAAATAACACCAGATATTTTTGTCTAAAGAAAAATAACACCTGATATCTTAATTTTTTTTATATTAAGTCAAAAGTTAAAATGAGCATAACGTACAGGAAAGGGTTATAAAACTAGAGCATTGCAAAATTATCAAAGAGAGAAGGTAAATACAGAGTTAAAAAAAAAATTTTATGGTGCCAAAATTTACGGAGCGAATGACCTGATATTTTGAATTTGCCTGTTTGAAATCTTTTTAGGTGGGAGCTCTATAGAAAATTTTAGGGGCAGTATTTTAAGAAAATGTTGTGATTTTACAAAGATTTACACAAATTTATTTTTTACTGCAGTAAAATTATCTATAAATTTTGAAAAAAAAAATTATAACCTAAATAAAGTTAAGAGATAATTTGTACTAATGTCCAACAATAAAAAGTATCTTTATATAATTTCAAAATATTAGAAAAAGTATATTTAATTTGAATTTCAAAAACAAATATATTGTCTTGTACTAGTGAAAGAGACAATAATAGTTTAAGCAAGAGATTTTAAAGTTGAAGTCAAGTGTAGAAAATACCTTTAACAAAATATATATCAAATTAAACCCGACAATGCTTGAATTTGATTGATTTATAAACTATATAGTCATATAAAAAACATTATCACATATAAAATTTATAAAAAATGTTTTTTGTCAAACTTTTATGTAATTTATAGAGAGGGCTAATTATTATTAGCCCAAAAAAAGAAATTAAACTCTTATCTCGTATATAATCTAAATTACTGGGTTAACAATTAATTATCAAAAGAGCTCTCATCCTTCTCGATCTTAAGCTTTTGGATCTTGAGAATAAGATTATTTCTTATTAGTCGTTCTATTCTAGGCTCATCATTTGCTATCGACTTCGTTAGCATTTATCAAGTGCGTTTCAACAAAACTCAATATTATTAATGTTAAATATAATTTTTTCAAACAACTTGTTCAACTGCTAAATATAATAGGATGGCTTATTCGTGAATGCCTGCCTAATTTATTAAAAAAATGTATCACTATTGCAATGCACCTATATAGCAACTAGTTTTTAGAAAAAATAAATCTCATTAAATTCTAACCTCAAAGTTCCGTTGTCAACACAGCCACTTAATAATTTCTGCAGCATATCTGGACACAATACCATACAAAGAGATAGACACACGCATGGGCGGCCGACCGGCCATAAATATGTTACCTTTCTCCTTATAATACTATATGGTATTGCAGCATATATATTCACGGTTTAAATCTTCTGAAATTGATATTTGTAAATTTCAGTAAAATTTATCTTTTAGAAAGGAAAATAATATTTTCTATTTTACAAAAAATAATAAAATGACCAAAAATATTAAAATAGAAAAAATTCACATACATTCATACTGAAATTGAAATCTCACAATCTCCCAAAAAAAAAAAAAAGGTTCCATGAGGCCAGTTCAGTCAAGTACTCCTTTTCACCCTTAAATATAAAATGAAGTTAATTAACTTTGCATTTATTAAAAAATATTCCCTCCATTTAAAAATATAAGATATTTTTTGAGAGGTTAAATGTTAAAAAATGTAAGATATTTTTAATCTTGGTGTAATCATTACTTTTTTTTAAAAAGTGCCCCTATTAATAATAACTTTATATTTATTGTAGAGTGTTTAATAGGGATAAATATAGAAAAATAAGATTAGTTAAAAATAGGTAACTATTTTATTGGGGGATAAAATTCATTTAAAAATATCTTACATTTTTGAACGAAAAAAATATTAATTATATATTTAAAATTGAAAAAAAATACATAACTTTCAAATTTTATTGTTCTTTACAATCGATAACCATATTAAATTAATGTCTAGAAATTCAAATCATAACAAATAAACAAAGGTAAAAATGAAATTGGTCATTGAAATTCCATTTTGAAAAAAAAAAAACCATCCAAACACTTTTTTTTTTCATAAATTCCGCTTTGGCTTTGAAACTCTATTATGAAAGAGGCTGTTTAAAATTTCATTTGAAAATCAAATATTTTGAAACTTCGTTTGATAATCAATTTTTCATAATCAATTTTATCTCGCGGAAAATCAAACACACCCACTGTGTGCAACGTATATTACCTTTGAAATATCGTCATGAAAGATGTATATGTGCCACCTTTAATGGGAAGATGATTTACAACAATTTTCAGAACGAGATTAAGAGACTACAGATTTGGAGGAGTTGAAGGTTGCAGCTGAAATATCTCAGTATCTTCGTTCTCAAAGGTATTTAGTTTTCCACATACATGGTTCCTGTGAATATCGAATAACAAATTATAAGAATCACATTTTAAATCGAACGTTCACCAGGAGGACTAAAAAATTAAAATTGACAGCAAGTAACTATCATATCAAGAATCATTTCAATTCATGAGCTTAAGTTACTCATCTATTAGGCGAAAGTACCCGAATACTTTAATTATGATCTCTGATACTCTATTCGAACAAAAAATGAGCAGGCTTCCAATGTAGTGGAAGTACAAGCTCACTAAACCTTGTACAGAATGTATCTTTTTGGTGAAATATGAAAATTGAATTTCCATCAACAGAATTGTAGAATGATTCATACTAAACCATTTGTTCATAAAAGCTCCGAGAATTGATGAGTATAACTATTCATTAGCTTTTATTTAGAGTTAGAATTAGATGACTAGTTTTCCTATAATCTCTACCAAACTCCAAAAAAGTTGAAATCCTTAGGTGAAAAAGCTAATAACAAGAAGCCTTATCCCATTAAATGTTATTGGCTACATGATTGCATAATGCTTTTGTACTCTATCAACAACCAAATCTTTAGAAATATTGTTAACCAAACCCCTTCAACAAAAAAGGCAAAGTATATTTAATTAGAAGATCAGTAGCATGAACAAGAGAAGCAGTACCATGTTTATTTAAATTGGTTCCTTTGACCAATCCTGGGAAAAGAAAAATTAACAAGGGATACCTTTGAGAGATAAAACTCTTGTCAGACAATGCCTTCTCCAACCTCTCTTCAAATGGTGTTGCACGCCAGTTCACTTTCTGATCCTGAAACCAAATCGGTACTTCTCAAACGCAGAATCTAGATTTTGGACTTTTTAAAAGAAATAAACAGGAAAAGTCATACTTCCTTGTACTTATTCGTTGTATTTGGTATGCCATTGTCATACCAAGACTCTGGGGATGGAATCTGAAGCTTCTCATCTTCATTCCAGTGAGCAGCAACCATCCCAAGGACAGGTCTCTCTGTAGGACTTTTGCATAAGTTTGGAATCTGATCATGTGAAGTCTCCTTTCCACTGTGTCTCTCCTCCTTAATAACTGATAAGCTTCCTTCTACCTTGCATTCATTTCATAAGAAACTTCCTTTAACCCATTTTTATAACTACTCAGCTCACCTGAGTCTTGATCAAGGTGAACAATTTCTTCTTCTTCTTCAAGTATCTCGCACTGAGAGATGCTCTTAGCCAGATGGTTATCCGAATACAAAATCTGGGAGTTGATAATAACTCGAGGCTTATGACCATTTGGTTGATTTTTGAATGTGGCAGGGTAAACAGTCCCAGGTGTCTGCATGTCATCAGATATTTTTAATGGGGTAGGATGAGGTGATTGTTTAATTCCACGGGAACTCAAGTCGTCCTCAGATTCTTCAAAACGTAATGACTTGCTTTTCCTCGCTGCATCAATTTCAACCTCATTGCCACAAGTGCCATGTACAGTATGAATGTTCTGTTTCGTTCTTTCATCCTTTGAGCAGTGAGAGTCACATTGAGTATCGTGTCCAACGGTAGAACTGCAAAAAAAAAAAATTATAATTAAAATCTGATTTGTCAAAAGTAATTTCAGAAAACACAGACAGACACCCAAATACTCCTCTGGTCCTACTACTATAGGATAGAAAGAACATTTGTTTAGATCCTATTTATAGGCCTCGATGATTGTTGTATTAATCTTTATCCTTTCACTCCTATTAAATGGTATAATATTTTATTTTTAAGATATGCATATTTAATAGAAGTAAAGTTGAAAACTTGTTGAATTTTTAGACAAATTAACAAGATTTAAGTTTTCCTTAATTCTGATAAAAATGTTGAAAGTGAAAGATAAATAAAACCAAAAGAAATAGACAAGAAGCATTTGGTGGAAATCCCATATCACATGCACTTCTAGAAAATCATTTCTACACCTTCCAGTCCTTAATATAAGATGAGGTTATTCAACTTTGTGTTTATTAAGAAATGATTGTTATAACCTTAAAATTGTAAAAATAATATGTAACTTTCCAATTTTATCCTTTTTTGTAATTAATAATTATAGTAAATTGTTGCCCTAGAATTCTAATGACAATAAATAAACAAGGGGTAAAAATGAAAAAAAAAAAAGAAGCATTAATTACTCTCACTTCATCTTATATCAAGGACCCCAAAAAAAAAAAAAAACAAAGGAAGAAAGTTAACTTCATCTTATCCCATGGCATTAACTATTAAGTACCGGAGGTAGACAGTTTCTTAGATTCTTATAATAAAAAACCTGTCATTAAAAGTAAAAACCAAGTTTCTTTTCTATTGTGTCATAAGAGATGAAAGCTTAGCCTGCAATGAGAACTGACTAAAACTCATTTAATCATATTAATTGTTTATTAGACTATGTTGTGCACACCGTTGATCGGTTAATGTGGCCCAAGTACATAAGCTGATAAGCACGTATGCATTACCTAAATTTAACTAATTTGATTAAATTATGTTAATCAGATTTGTTTTGTTTTGAGATAATTTGAATTGTCCATTGCAATTTGTGCATTGTTATTCAATATCAGCATAAAAAAAGTTCAAAAGAGAACGATATAAATATATATATATATATATATTACCTGCAAGGTGTACGCGCTGAAGAATCCTTGCCATTTTCCCATTCTTCACAAAACTTTATTGGAGTTGCAGGGATCGAAGATTGAACCTCCAGCTGAAGTTTCTCGAAAGATGTGGGGAAGGCAAGAATGAAACGTTGAAGACTCAGAATCTTTTCCACGAGGTAACACTTTCAATTTGTCAGACGTTGAGGAATCGCTGGTTTTCAGAGACGTTACCTGTAGAGAGAGTGTCATAATTATATGCACAATAATCAAGTCAAATTATATAAACAAAACAGAATCCACAAGAATGTTTTATATGCAATGATATTATTGTTTATTCATCATAAATTGGTTGCATTAAAGTTTGAGAACAAGTTTACAGGAAAATTCCAACAAGGTTACATCCAAGTGAGTTTAGTTTCTATGCTTATGCTGGGACCCCAACCTTGCAGGATTTTGATCCAGTGAATGATTTAAGTCTACTTACTTAATGAGTGTCTTATATAACACGATAACAACTATTCAATTTAATCAAACAATTATAATAAATTTTGTTATATAATATTTAGAAAGTATCAAATCTTAAATTTTTTTTATAGGAGAGCATATGTGAATAATACTTTAATCATAAGAATTATTTTGAATTTTTTTAAAAAATGTATATGGATAATTTTTAAGTATTCATGAAGTCTAATTGCTGTAACTAAAATACTTATTAAATAAGTATACTTATGCACTCTGAATCCATATCCAATTTAACAAGTCTAAAAACAGATCACTTAGGCCTCAAGACTAAAGCCCAGATAAATTAAAACTCAAGAATTGGCCAACAAAATTAGAATTAATTAGAAGCCAAGAAGATGGAAGCATGGAATTCTTGGAAAAGTAGCTTCTTTAAACACTTATTTGAAGTTATTGAATTTAATTTGATAATTTATATAAATATAAATTAATTAATCTGCAGTGTTATTAAAAAGAACACTGAAACTGAAACATAACAGTAAACAAGTCGCCCAAAAACACTTCGCAGGGTAGGCGTGTCTCCAAAAACGATGTCATTTTCACCCACTGATCCCAGCCAAAGCATATCATAACTTATTTTACCATTATTATTACAATAGAACATGTAGTGAATGAATCATTGAACACATCTCTAGCCATAACATAAATACACACAAATTAAAATATATATAAGAATATGTTTACCGAAACACACACACACATATGTTTAAGAATATATGTGCATGCAAAACTTATATATATATATATATATATATAAATAAAGTACTCATTCTATCTTTACAATAAGTCATATACAACAAACTCACATCATCAAAAAAAATTAGTTACATACTTACGTCATTGAGATACCAAAAATTTTAGAAACAAAAAGAGGCATATTTAAAATAAAACAAGTAACTTATATTAAGAACTAAAACATTCTTATAGAAAGCAGCCTAGTATAATAAAAATAAGAGGAAATATATCCCAAAATCATTAAAATATACTCCCTCCAAATTACAATATATAATATCTTCTAAAAATCCTGTTTAATTCAAACTATAAAGAATTAGGTAATTTTTATAATTATTTTTTCCAACTATACTTTCACTTTATTTTTTATTTTTGACAAAAATGATGCATTAGCATTTCAATTATTATTATTATTAAGGTACTTATATAAGATATTTAATAAGAATATAATTGAAAAGATGTAGTAAATTTTTTTAAAAGATTAAAGTTTTACCTAATTTTTTGGAATATTGAAGTAGTAACTGATATCATATATTGTGGCCAGGAAAAAGTAAGTAGTAAATATATTTAATAATAATGTGAAATTTTATCTAAAAATATTTTATAATTAGAAATGGAGAAAGTATGTACTAGTATTTTTTATTAATTAATATAAAAGTACATGTTAATTGCAGATAATATTTATTTAATTAGTTATTGCTGGAGACTGCTTTTAATGTCGGCCCTTGAAGGGCTAGGGCTTAAACGGACAGACTCTTTCAAAGTTGATTATATTTTAGGATTCTATTTTACACAACTCAATTCTAACCCTCAGGGCTGAAGTTAAAAATCTAAAATTATATATTTAAAATTTAAAAAAAATTATTAACATAACATTAAGTCTATCTAATAAATTTAAATCAATCCACTCAACAATAAATTTAAATCTAATAAAAAATAGTAACATTATAAAATCAACTTTGATGATAAGTAGACTTTGCTAGCATCATCAGTTAAGTTTTGATAGTTGAGAGTAAGGAAAGGAAGGTGGCTAGCTGCGTACTTGGTCAGTTAGTCAATCGATGGATGTGGGAGAAAGAATCAGAATGATCAAAATCAAATGAGGTTAGAGTTTTTTTAATGTATGACTATACGTAGTATGTATTTAATTCTTTTATATTAAATTTTAGAGTTATCATTTTATACCTCAAAATAGTAGTCCAGTCTTGAATATTTTCAGGTTTAAAAAAACAAACCTGACAAGGTTAGCCATCTCCTACAGGTTGTTGAGATAGAATTAATTGGTAAAAATTGGGCAAGATTTCGAGATATGGACTGGATTCCCCCCCCCCCTTTCCATCACGCAAATTTACTTTTATCATAATCATCTTTAGAAGAGTAATTTACCAGTAAAAATAACTTTTGCTTTTTGATAAAGCTATCCCCATAACAATAAAAAGTATTGACGGCGGTGACCGTGAGAGAATGCTTTTGATAAATAGTTTCACTAAATAAATTTATCCTGATATTATCTTCTCTTTTTCTATTTAATAAAGTATAAATATCGAAAGTTATATTTCCCAATTAATTGCTAGAAATTCGGCAAGATTTCGAGATATGGGCTAGATTTTTTTTTATCATGAGTAGGAATTTATTTTTGTCATAATCATCTTTTAAAAAAGTAACTTTTATAAAAGCAAATTTTGCTTTCTGACAAGGCTGCCCAAATTAATAAAAAAAATGAAAAATAAAATCTTTTAAAATATATAAAATAATAATTTAATTTTTTAAAATGTTATAATTTTTTTAAAATTTTTAAAAATTTTTTATGATTAATACATTTATATAAATTATTAAATTATCCTTGTTAAAAATAATCGATTCATAAGTTTTATTTAATATTCACAACTTTTTTCTTATATTCATAACAGTGTAACAACATATAAAAAATTAACATATAAAGTTATGATTTATTAATGCATTATTGAAAATATAAGAAAAAAGTTATAAATATTTAAATAAAACTTATAAATAATTTATCTTTAATAAAAATATTTAATAATTTATAAAAATTTATTAATGATAAAAAACTCTCTAAAAATTTTAAAAAAATTATTATTTTAAAGAATTAAATTATTATTTATATATTTTAAAAATTTATTATTTTTTTTCAATTAACAACCAAAAAGTTTTGATGGTGGTAATTGTGTGAATGCTTTTGACGGCTAGAAACAGCGTCGTTTCTTCGGAACCACGTCGCACAACGGACGAAGAGTCTCTCCTCTGCCACTTTCCCTGCCACCTTTCTTTCCTCCCTTGAACCGGACGCCGAGTGTAAGAGGCTATCCAAGTAAAAGTTTGAGAACTTCCGTCCTTCAACCACATCGCAAAGGTATTTCCATTGCTCTGCTACTGTAGTTAGATTCCATTGCATTGTTAATTTGTTACTATCCTAGGGTTGGGTCAGTTCGATATGGGTACTAGGATCGAAATTCTAGAACAAGAAGCGGGTGAAGTGAGAACAGAGATGGCAAGCTTGAATGAGAAGCTCGGAGTGCTTGAATTTAGGATAAATGCTGCTAGAGATTTAATAATGCACATGCTCGAATCACTTCCTCGAAAACAAGAGAGAGAGATAGGTAAGTCGCATCTACAAGCGGAGAAATGGTGCCAACTGTCCGGGGGCTTACCGCCTCGAGTTTCCTATTTTTTCTGGTGAAGACGACCCATATGGCTGGATTTTGAAGGCTGAGAGATATTTCATGCTCTATGGCATTGAGGATAGAGAGAAAGTGGCTTGCGCCACTCTGAACATGGAGGGTAAGGCACTAAACTGGTTTCTATGGGTGGAAGCTAGGAACCCTATTCAGTGTTGGGAAATGTTCAAACAGGAACTCATGGAAAGATTCCAGACCACTAAAGGCGACTTAGCTTATGAACAGCTTCTATCCTTAAGGCAATTCACTACTGTAGCACATTACAGAGAGCAATTTGAGCTGCTCTCTGCATCCCTTAGAGACATTCCAGATGAGATGTTAAGATGCATGTTCGTCAATGGGCTAAATGATGATATCAAAGCTGTAGTGAAATCAATTGGGTCAAGGGATTTGAATCGTGTGATGTCGTTAGCTCAGGAAATTGAAGATAAAAACAAGATTTCAGAGATGATGGAGGAGGTTAAACTGCCCAGAAGGAGTTATGGGAATCGCTCAAAATCCAACTCATTTGATGAGATGGCTCCTAGATCTATGGATCCAAATGAGAACTTACTTGGTGAGGAGGAAGGTGAAATGTGCGACAAGGAGGAAATAAAGAAGAGGAGGAACAAGAAAGTGTGATGGGAGAGAGTCAAAAATTGCCAATGAATCAGACTGTGGCAACCAAACCACATAGCTTCAAATTTCTTGGGAAGATTGGCTCTAGGGAGGTGATTGTATTGATTGGCACAGCAGCTACTCACAATTTTATTTCAAAAGAAGTGGTTACTGCATTTAAAATACCAGTGGAGAGGACTGAAAGGTTTTGGGTAAACTTTGGGTTTGGTCCTGAAGCTGAAGGGTCAGAAGTAAGCAGGAGAGTTGTTCTCAGAGCACAAGGCATAGAGATTGAACAGAGTTTCTTTCCCACTAAGCTAGGAACTGCAGACGTGGTGTGGGGGGTGGTCAGTGGTGAGAAGCCTTGGCTCATATGCAATACAAGGAAGTCCAATGACCATGACTTTCAAGTGGGGCGGAAGAAAAGTAACATTACAAGCAGATCCATCTCTCACTAAAGGAGCAGAGATAGGGGTTATAACTCTGCGATGGAATGAGAACTCTTGAGTAGATTTTCCTAGAGTATTCTGGCTTTCTTTAATAGCTCTTTTTGGCTAATATGTTGCCAAGTGAGTGTTTCTAATTCTTCGATACTTATAGCTCTTTTTGGTTGAATGTTTCTGAGGGGTGTTTCTATTTTGTTGCTACTTATAGCTCTTCTTGGTTGAATGTTGCTACTCTAGTGTTGGTTTGCTACTATATTGC